CTGCTGAAACTAAAAGGAAACAAATCCTGTGCTGTAACCCTCATTTTCCCCTCTCGGATGTACAGGTCTCTACGAAAAGCTGCTGCTTCTAAACCTTCCTCTGCTTCTCTGAACCTTGTTTGCTTACATGGACATTCAATTTTCTGTTGAAACAGCTAAAATGGAAGAAAAGCTTAGTTCTCACGTTAGCCTTAATAGAAGGTCAGAGATGAAAGCAGCGCTGCCACTAAGAGGAGGCAGACACAAATAAGGCTCTCTGAACCAGTTCGCAAAATCACATATCTTTTTTTGTTTGTTTGTTTCAAGCCAATGCGTTCCCTGCAGCCGTGCTCACCGGCGAGTGACTGATGCTGTTAACTTTCTGCATAATAGAAAAGCTTTTGAGGAGCATAATAGTACAGCGTTTAGTTTTTCTAAATCAAATCCCTACAATCACCAACAAGAGAGGGGGGTGAGAAATAGATACTAAAAGGTACAAGCGGAGATTGTCCGGAAAGCTTTACAGAAGATGGTGGGCAGATGGCAGGGATTTGCAGTGACACAGCTGTTTTTAAAAATAAAGAGGTGGAAGAGGAGAGGGCATGATTACAGCTACACACACATTCCTAAGCCTGTTCACACAAGGATAAAAATTAAGCTAACAGTGGGAAATTGAAGTCAGTATATTTATCATCTGAATTGACATTTAGAAACTTTTTAAAAACAGCAGCAGCACCTTCAAGTTTCTTTTCCAATCATTAGCTAAGTAACTACAAAGTAAAGTGGACAACAGAACCATTAACCTACAATGAGATATGAAAAAGACAATGTCAAAATTACTTTCAGTGCCTCCAAATAGCACACATTTTTGCTGTAAGCCTTGCTATATAAAAAAAAATTCCTATCAAATAAATAAACATAAATTATTATATAAACATAAATTATTATATAAAATTCCTGTTTGAATTTCCTAGGAAGAGCTTTAATTTTTCACTTTTGGGCTTTTTTCAGATATTATTAGTAGACGATACAGATAAGCAATGCAAGGCATAGCAAGATGTGTAGGGGTTGTTGTAGATTCAAACAGCACAGGGGGTGAAGCAGGGAAATGCCCAAATTCAACAAGGTACCAAGCACTAGATATTAATGCAGTAAGAATAGAACATTTTTTTAACTAAGCAGTAATTTGTATAAAGATATTTAATTTCATAGAGACCTTTTACTCATTCTTAACACGTATCCTCATATTTGTCCCCTACAGCCACATAGAGAGCTTGTTACATAAACACTAAAAAAGATTGTTCATCTACAGCGTAGAAGCCTGTCTTCTCCAGAGAATCCAATGAAGCTGTTTCTGATGGCTTTTTTTCCAAAATTAACTCTTTTCCAGTTAAGCAACTCCTAGATCCAAGAAATTTGACAGTAACAGGAAAGATATCACTGTTACCAAAATGATGATCTTCTGATCATTCTTCATGGAGCCACCTTTATTCACACTGCATCAGATCACTTTCTTCCGAGTATTAAAAATGACTTGCCAGTATAAACGTACTTTTTGCTACCTTTTAAAAAAACAATAAATCTAATTTTCTAAACATATGAGCTAGCACCCAACACAAGAAAAAGGTTATCCAGCAGCAACTCACTAAAAACTTCTTTACACCTATCCCCAGAGCCACCGGTGCTGGCTTTTGCTACAGCCGGGTATTGAACTGAATGGGCTGTAGGTGAAACCCATTACAAAAACGCAGATATTCCACATATTTACTCCACGAGCCCTCCTTTCAGTGCCTGGGCTACTCCAAAGACAACAGCAAAGTGATTAGGGCAGGTGCTGCCTAGCACACAAACGTACTCAACATCTGAAGACATTTAAATTAATTTTATTTATACCAGGTTTTCAAAATCAGAAATATTTCAAAGAAATTCCATACTTATAGACAGGTGCTACATTGATGATCTCTCATCCACCGTTAGTGCTGTGTCTTCACTCTACAATTGTTAACTTGCAACCACAAACTAAGGGGAACTTACAGAAGCTTATAAAAAATAGGCAGACATGAAAGTTTGGTTTATACTGGAATTGGCATACGAGAGTAAAGCTTATTATCAAATGGTGGCAATTGCTGTATTCTACCACTCGTTCTGAGGGAATGGTACAGCAGAAAAACTCTTCCACTTAGAGAAACACTTTGGGTTTTAACTGAACATAAAATGAATTTCAAGATCTGACTAGGAGTGATTCTTACACTCAATGGACTTTTTATACTCAAGTCCATATAAATTTAAGCTTTGCATTTCTAAAATCACCACAAGCATAAACCTCACCTACTCACACTAGTCTTGGACTGATTTCCCTTTTCAGAGAATTCAAACCTGTATGTCTATACCTCTTCTAGGATTTACCAAATCAAACAAAACAACTGCTGGTTTTTAAGTCTTTTTTTAGAAGAAAAATGCCATTTCTGCACAAGCTACTCTCATGAAAATTTTATTTAACATTTCTTTATCAATAAAATAACTGAAGCCAAGATACCCAAAAGTCACGTCTACACGGAGATACACAGAAGATATTCAACTTGAGAGGATTTTCCTCCACTTCTCGATCACAATGAGGCCCTCACCATTTTGCATAATGACAGAAAACAACAGCTGACAAACCATTTTGGAACAGATGCCAGCTGTCTCTCATTTGTTTTAGAATTCAAACAGTAACAGTTCTGTAGCACTTTATTGGGGGTTTTTTTGTTTGTTTGTTTGTTTTAAAGCAAGCCATCTAAATTGGACCTCACATCAGTCAGTCATTTCAAAAACAAACTGAAGGCAGGATGATCCTTTTGGATCCAAAACTTGTTTCGGGAGGAATCTTACATAAATACAGTTTGTGCTTCAATTTTGTATCTACTTGGACTGAGTGAATATACAATATACACTTAAGCTACGTTTGTTTGTTTGCTTTTAAAAAAAAGTAACCTTTAATATTCAACTTAGAAGCCACAGACATCTTTCCAGACTGTTTGCAGCAGCAACAAACAATAAATTTAAACACAGTACTGCTTAAAAAAGTTTACTGTCAAAAATGAAATCCAAACGGTTTATTAAAATTTAACATTTTCATTTTGGCTTTTTCCAAAGAAACCATTTATATCTTGTGAAAATTATTTAAGAGTATTTAATTATACTGTACTGAATTCAAACATAAAGCACAAAGTAGATCTTTACATTAAACTGGGTTTTGCACACAATGTGAATAATCAGAAATAAAGAGACTATTTTGAGGAGAAAAAAAAAATTTATCTAGACAACATGCATACCATCAGTTACTTCTCAACCTTAAAAGGTACCTGAAAGGAGAGTTTTGTAGAACAAAACAAAGACTCATTAATACACTTAGTAAGTCAGTGGTCATCATGCCTTTTTAATTCTAGTAAAGTTTAGTCTACATAGAACAGCTAACACAATGAGGTGTGCAAGTCATAGGGATAGCCAGAAGCCTGAAACAAAGTCTTAAAGTTCTACAGGACAAGAAAGCCTAAACACAGTACCACTAGGTTATTTAAACTATGAAAAAAAAAAAAAAGGAAAAAAAAGATTTTTTACGATTATCCACTTCCTTGTTGAGAAAGGGTTATGGACTGAACATAAAGGGCCCAAGCTGAAAAGCTCCACAGTTCTACTCTAACAACTTTTTAAAATAAGGTAATGATAATGAGCATTCCTTCTAGCAGCATGTACAGTTCAGCTGCGAGTGGCTGCCTAACAGCGCTCCTTTATGCATACCAGGAGAATCATGTCCAGTTTTGCCATTTGTGGATAACGATGACAAGATACAAAAGCATGTGTTTGCCATAAATAGCTCTGGCTAACGGAGGATTGCTCACACAGAGCAGATCAAATTCTCTATAAGGACAGCATTATCTGGCTCCCAGCCAAAACACGTCCCCGACACAAGCCTTAGTAGTGGCAAACACTTTTCCAGTTCTATTTACATAGAAGCTAACAAAGTAGAACGGTTCATTTAGGCTATTTCTTGTACCAAGTCCATCTTAACTGCAACACTCGAGAAGCAAAAATTATTTACCAGATTCATATTTGCATATCATATAACTGTCACTACACATCATCCTACCAACAAAAAAAAAAAAAAAAAAAAAGACAGCGAGCTGTAAGATTTCGTGCAAGGTTTTACTCTGACACGTAGAACTTTAAGAACATTCAGGTACGAAACACACTGCGTGGTTAATTCGTGTTTTTTACGTTTCTGACACAAGTATGTCATGGAACTAATGGTCTCTAGTAGTGGTAGCTTCTTTAACGGTAAACTAGGATCAGGTCCTTTATCGAATGATCAGAACAGAGCCACAAAGTATTGTAAAGGAGTGCCTAAATCATGATTAGGAATGAAAAACTTGCATTATTTAAGATGAGATTAATGATCTTTTGTCTTTACAATACTTTCCACAGAAGTTATTTGAAATATGCTTAAATTAAACATACTTAAAAACTGTATTTTCCAATGAAAACAAGGCAACATTCTGTAATATGCCACAAGTTTTATTGCAACGTGGCCAGTTTTTGATCTCAAAGAACAATGTTCCATTTAAGGCTCTTTTTAATACAGAAATTGCCACCATGACTGATGTTTTACAAAACTTTAGTGTTTCAAGACTCACATGGTAAACAGATAACTTCTACTCCTGTTCAGTAGTGTACATTCAATGGAAAACAAAAGGCATCGTAACAGCTACTTCGTTTATAAAGATATGCATGTAACAGGAATGAAACTGAGGTACTACAATAATTTGATGACACAGTTACAGCAACTTAATTGGCATTCCTTTGAGGGGGGGCGCAGGTCAAACATATTACAAAAAAGTGCTTTAAATGCATAGTGTTGTGTGCTGCCATGTCACAAAAATAGGCTTGTCAAGGCAGGTGAGGTGTATGAATGCACAAGAGCCTCATGGAACTGCAATCAAGTGCAACTGTAAGTAATACTGTATAGAGTCTACCATCCGACCAGTGGACAATACTTTCAAGGCATTCAATTAGCTTACCCTTTGCTGTCTGCTAGACTATTCACATTAACTATCACATTCATTGTACATGTTGCAAGGAACGCCTGCAACGTCAGTTTTGGCTAAGAGTATGACGTGAAAGCATTCCTTGGATCCTACGTAAAACTACCAGGATTAAACAGTCTAATGGCAATCACTGGTAGACTGCTTAACAATGACATCTCCTTCAGGGGCATTAGGGAAAGGACTTATTTTTTTGAGAAGGAAAGGGGACAGGGAGACTAATACTATTCCAATTGAACGAGCTGCAGAAATGGAAGCTCCTTAGATCCAGATGGCACTTGTCTGTCTTTTTATAAGGGTTTTCCTTCAAGTGAAACTACCACGTTGCCTCCCAATTTCTCTCCAAGTGTTGAACGGTCCTTAATATCATCCAAACCATTTACTTGCCACTCATGTTTAATACCTGAAAGACAGACGGACAACAGTGTACTTGTGAGAACCTCAATATCTAAACAGCATTATAATTAATGTGCAAAACATTTTTAGGTCTGTACCTGTAAATTTCTTTTTAATGGCATCTTTAGAGCTTGCGTAGATCATCTTGCTTTTTAAAGGTGCACTTTCAGGAGCCCTTTAAAGGAAAGAGGAAAACCACAACAAAACAGTTATTCAGTCATCCAGTGTTAACTCCAGAATATTCAATTTTAGTAGCAAGCTTTTCTTTTACACACCAGAATATAAATACCAGGTCTTCTTTCTTAGATTCCTTTGTCTCATATGTGGCATCATACAAAGCGTATCGGCAATCATTCAAAGGTAGCAACTTCACAAAGGCTGTATAAGGGTCCTCCACAGTATCTCCAATGTCACCAACCAGTATCTGCTTTGACTCCTCTACAATTATTTGTTTTTTGTCATCACTTAAGCAGAAGAGAACGGCTTTCTTTCTTTTTTTAATCTCCTCTGGGGTTGAAGATTTCCTTACTTTCATGTCATTAAACACCTTTATGACTTCATCATTCACTGTTACTCCAGAAGCCTGTAAAATGAGATCAAAGGAATAATTTAAACAGTAAAAATCAACATTTGCCAGAAAAGATGATAGCCCACAGTGCTAGATAAAGAAGTCTGCCTGCCCCCCTAACAATAAAAATACTATACTCAACCTGAATACACTAGGAATTTGGTAATCTTTGCAGGACTGGAGCAGAAGATATAAAGGAGGTGTAAATTCTGTACTCTCCTGTTGCAGATCTCAGCATCTTCAGCTGTGATTCTGGATAGCAGCTTTATACAACTAGGCACACAACTATACTACTCAAGCAGTTTTCCATTACCTTATCATACATTTTGCTTATTTGGGGTGAGGAGGAGAGCGGGACGGGAGGAACTGAACATAGGAAAGCAGTTTGTAGTTTTGGGCTGGGATGAGGGGGTGGGTTTTTTGTTCTTTTTTTGTTTGTTTGTTTAAAGCACTACAGCAGCAGCTCACATCCAGCACTGTCATGACTCTCATTTTGTTGGGTGATGTAAGGCTCTACAAGCAGCAGAAATGTTTTCTGCATTGTGTCAGCTTCAATGCCGCACTTGAAAAATTCCTTAATTTTACTTCGTACTGCTGCACAAGTATTATCTGCCTGCTCTTCCTTCACACATAAATACCAGTTACAATGTGTACAGCTCCCCAGTAAGCCGTTCAAAACCCAAGCCTAAAAACCAGCAAGAAAACAAAACACTGACAGGGAAAACGGGGAGCTCACGGCAGAAAGAAAATAATTTAGCGAACCCCACTGCGAGCGAGGGAGCTAAACCCACCCGCAGCGCCCTTGCTCTGGCTCCAACAATCGCCTCTGAAGAGGCGGGCGCTGCCAGAGCCGGCTGCTGGGGGAAGGCAGGTGCACGGCTCGCTGGAGCCGGCGGCTTTGTCCCTGAGGGAGCCCG